ATATTAATCTTCGTCATAATATACACTATCCATGAAATCAAACTAAGAGTCAAACACTTTAAGTAGTTTTGTATTTAGTCAGATATATTTTGATGAAAATCAATGCATTTATTATGGTAATATGAGTCAAAATTTTGGTTTAACGATTAATACAATTTTTATGTTGTTGTTAATGGACCAGTAATGACTGACTATTCATTGGTAAGTCCAGAGAGCTGAAAAATTACTATATGGTAGATAAAGCAAACAAAATTGCAAAACATATTATTTTATGGTAGATGGCACGTTATTGATTTTCGTTCTTGTTGTCACTTATCAATGAGACATATTTGCGGCGCTGTGAAACTGTGTGGATTACTTGTGATTTAAAGTCACTTTGTGTTATAGAACAACAAAAAAAACGAAAAAAGATCTAGCTATAAATTCAATGCGGGTTACGTATGAAAAACTCAACTATTCCATAAGTTTGTAACCAACTAAAATAACTCATTTCCAGAAGCAATCATAAATCAGTTCACGACTAAAAATACACATGTACTCAAAAGATCACTACTGATAAGCATAAAAAAACATGCCTAAATGTAATTGAATATACGCTAACAATTTATTATCATTTTCTCCAGTTTTTAATTGTGTGTTATGATGCAAAAGTCATTTATTCCTTGTAAAAGTGGAATTTGGAAAGTCCCAAAACGTCTTAAAATCTTCGTTATACTCAGTAAGATTTTACCAATGTTTTTTTTTGATTAATTAAAGAGTTATTAGGTCACATTTAGTGAGTACTTTACTTTTATCTTGAAATCACTGACATGGTCTATGAAAACGTAAATCACTGCATAAAATCACTGAATTTCTTTCAGATTAGACTGAGAATATTTCACACTTTCCCACAAATGTCCTTCAGTAGTAGTAGTTTTTCAGTAGTTGATTATGCCCAACTCATATACAATCAGTAGGCTCACCAACAAAAAAATGATATTTTTTTTTTATTATTATTATTAATGGCTTTATTCAATATTATAGTTTTGGTACAATATAGAATTCTCAGCACAGGGTATTTCAACAAGTTACTTACTGAAAAAAAAAACGAACAAATAGGCAGTAGCAAATACAAAAAAGAAATTTTTTAAGAATAAAAAAAAAAAATTTTTTTAATAAATTTTAAAAAAAAGACCAAAAAAAAAACTGTGCAAAACTTTTTAAAATTAAAGACATGTTAAGAATGTAAATTATTAACTAGGTTATTTCTAACAACCTGTTCGTCACATAGTATATTTGCTAGGTAAGGAATTATAGAACTTTTATACTTTTCCTTACGTGCATGGATTTTAATGTAATTACGTCTCGTTCTACCAGAAGATATACAAGGAGAAAGATAAGAGTGAAGGGGATGGCTAGTATCTGATAAAATAACACCTGCCAGGAGTTTGCATGATTTTAAATGTCTATCCACAACCATATTAATTATGGCCTCGAAAGATTCACCACACATCTTGCTAACTGTCTTCAGCACTCTTCGCAATACAGCAAAGTCTTTTCTCAAAAGCCCGGGAAAGAATAATGGAGAACAGTAAAGAATAATAGGTAAAATGCAAGAATTGACAAATTGTAAGAGTAAATGACGAGTAATCCCAAGAGCATGCAATCTCTTTATGTAGTAGGTCAGACGGAAAACCTTCTTCGATAACGATAAAACGTGGGAAGACCAAGACAAATCAGAGGAAAAGGTGACACCAAGATAATTGACCTTCGACACTGAGTTTATGAAAGAGTCTCCGATGGCACAAGCATTATGGGATCTCAAAATGGTGTTTATATTCCGTTCATGTCTCATGCTAAAGTTAACAGCTTGACATTTAGACGGATTAAGTATGAGACCATTACCAACAGACCAACAATCAATATGAGACAAAAACTCATTCATTTCTACGGGATGTAAAGAGGAAGATATAGGCATACATACAGTGAGATCATCCGCATACTTCACAAAAGTGTTTTCTGTAGAAGATGGCAGGTCATGCAGAAAAAAAGAGAATAGAAGAGGTGAAAGAACAGCTCCTTGTGGTACACCTTCCTGAGACAGTAGAGACTCCGAACACTTTCCTCCAAACACAGTGTACTGTTCTCTTCCAGAGAGGTAGGAACATAGCCAGTTGGTTATCCAGCTGTCAGTGTTGACGCTGATTAACTTGTTAAGTAAACGTTGTCTTGGTATAGAGTCAAAAGCTGAAGTATAGTCCAGAAAAGCACAACGAACATACTTCTTACCCTTTTCTAAGTTGAACACTATGTTGTGGTGCAGAACTGCGACAGCATCTAAAGTGCTTCTTTTGCGCCTGTATGCAAACTGGTATGGGTCAGTATGCTCTTTTATCGCAAGCTGAAGTGGAAGTATTAATAATTTTTCCATGGTTTTGAGGAAGGGTGAAGTTATTGCAATAGGTCTAAATTTTACATTCTTATCACCAGATGCTTTCTTGTGTACAGGAATTATCTTCATCTTTCTCCACATTTTCGGTATGAGATTAGATGAGAAGGATCTGTTAAATATTGTTGTGAACGGATGACATTTGCCTAAAATCCTCAGTCTCATACCGTTTAATCGAACGTATATGTATAACGCTTTACTTTATACTTTGATTTCAACGAAATTAACACTTACACAAAGCCCATGCTCTTTAAAATTATTACTGAAAGTAGATTTTCAGTTCCTATTACGTCATTGGTAAGCAATATGTTTGTGTAAATTTACGGTAGCAAGCCGACTAGCCAGAATCTTTGTTATTTTTAAGATTTTCAGATGGATGTTTGGAACACTTTTATTTATAATTACGAATGGTATATTTCTTTTAGTTACATATCTCAGAATACAGAAAGCTTTTATAATCTTCTCTCTGTCTTAACAACTGGTATTTAAAACCTTAAAGCTTTCATCAGTTTGTTTTATATGTTGATATGAAATTTACAAAACCGTTGATCTTAATTGAATGCACCAACTAACAACACTTTTTGTCTCCATGTTAGACACTTTCCAAATTTCATGTTAACTTCAGACTTGATTTTGACTGATGGTTATAAATAGCTTGTAAGGTGTGAAAATTAACGTTGATGAAGGATAAGTCAACGAAAGTATACCACGATCATAGATTGGAACAGTAAAAGATTCGTTTATATTATGAATAATGTTCCAAGTTTCAATCATTAAAAATACATTATTGCTCAAATATCAAGAAAAAATTCAATTTATCATAACAACAGTTGAAATAAAAATCAAGATCGAATGTTCCCTATATAGAAATTATAGAAAGGTTAGTGTAATAAGTGTACAGAATAGTAGGTAGAGAAATTCTTGTGTCTGGGTGGCTGTATAAGTACAGATGTTGGTGTGAGTGGAAAATCAATTCACGTATAATGAAAGTCAAAAGGTGTTTATATTGATCTTGGTCATCTTTGGAGTCTTTGTAATATTACTCTGGTTACAAAAGTTCGGATCAATAATGCGTCAGTAAGAGTAGTGTTCCTCTATACTTGTGAAACCTGGCCTTTCCAAGTTGAGGATTTTAGACGACTTTCTGTGTCTGATCACCGTTTTATTTGACAGATTTCTAACTTCCATTAACAACACCATTTTGGTAATATGGAAGTTCGGCAACGAATTGTCAAGTACAGCGATGATAATTCAATTAGCTTTACCGTCTTGAAACACCGACTTCGGTTGCTTAGACAGGTACTATAAATGTCTTATCATGTTGTGCATTATTTTCCAACTCTGGAACTAGCTGGAAAATGCATAGAGGTGATCAGTGCATGATATGATGCGTGGTATGAAAGAAAGGTATGCAGGACTGGCATCTGTTTATGCTTCATGATTCCCTGGTTGAGGTCCTGAAGATAGCGCAATACGGTGTCTTGAAACGTTATCACACATGGCTCAGAATACAAGCCAGTGGCGATCATGCTGTAACTTTCGCTTGATAAGAGCTAAAATAACTGACAGAATCCTTTCTGGTTGTATTTTTTCTAAGTGAACTGTTCCATCCATCCATTTATCCACTATTATTATTATTATTTCACTCTCGTGCACTAATTTCTATTCAAAATTTCGTTTTCTTATTATACTAACTTTTGTTTCTCTGTCACTTCATAACCTTATTTTTGTTATGTGGAGAATATATATCTTAGTCGCTCCTTGTATCAAAGCTTACATGTTTAAATAATCAATTGGTAAGTGAAGATTATCAATGTACCAATAATAATAACAAAGTCTATATATATATCATAGGTTATAAATCAATATTTTTAAGCTAGCAACATAATGAATTCTACTTGACAACTAAAATATTTAATCTGGAAGTATTCCTGAAAATTTTTCATGATTGGCCAGTTGTTGAGTACATTAATGTGTTAATAATATTTCAGTGATAATTGTCAATAAACCTTTACATCATATGAATATGTAGTTCTTTATTATCTATGTATTTAAACTCATCTCTTAAGTGAATGACATACGGTTCATGAATAGATATACGTATTTTTAAAGGTATAAGTTTTGTCAAGAAGGTGCATAGCATACACTTTATGATATTCTTATTTGAAATTTAACTGGAATACCTATTAAGCTTGCTAACTGATTTAGCTAGGAATCCTTTCACTATTTCACACTAAAAAAATATCATTTAAATCGTTTACGCTAGGAATATCATTTAATAGTTATGTAGTTACTTATAGGAGAATATTATGTTGGTTAAAACAGTTTGTATTTTTCAGAATGATTCCATGGAGACTAATATGTTATTATTAGTGAGTTAAAAGTTAAATTTTCAACTTTTTTATAAACAATTTCACATGAAAATTGTTTTTATGTGATATTATAGTCATTTTGTGTTTACTTTTTTTCAAACGAATGAGATTCTTGATGTAATTTATAATGAAAGTATTTAGTAAGCCTAAACATGGTATATACTTATAATCAGCCAATTGACTTTATAAACTGCCCTTGATTAATTAATAAAATAGTCTATTATTATAATCAACAAAATTTCTTTAAAAGTGAAAAAAAGTGACACATAATTTATTTTAACTAGAAGAAGAAAATGATTTATAACATGGTTGGTTTTGGTCCATGATGTCACTAGAATAACATTAGTATATGTGAATACAACTTTTTATTACGTAAGAGTTGAAGTTAACACAAAAGTATATTGCATTATAACAATAGTTTAAGATAATTAAATAAAACAAGAATGAAGTCTTTTTAAAATTACAACGAATTAACAGCAACAACATCCTACGGATCTGTCTTTTTCATCATTTCCTAACCAAAGGCACCATATGGTTTTTCCATTATCACAACTGAACACCAGATATTTTCCCTTAACTGCTTCTTTTATTGGTTGTGTATTGTTGATAACACGTCCTCTCCAACGTGAACCGAATTCACGATCACATTGTACAGTTATTTCATATAAATTGGAATGATCATTTTGTTTATTCCATCCATATTTTATAATTCTCAATATTTTCTGCTGCATCTCTGGATTTAGGTTGCTTGAGTAGACGATTGGTTTAGGTATTGAATCTGGAATTACTATGTTTCTTTCTTTAAGTATTTCGCTGTAAAGGGATTATGAACACAGTAAGTTATAATTTTATACGTAATTTTGTGTACAAGCTGGTAATGGCAATTCAAAATACATATTTAATAATCTATTAGATCTAACCAATAAATTTGAGCCAGTCTTAGGTAAACGAATACAGAGTTTGAGAATAGAATGTTCAAGGGTAACATTTCTTTCCAATCTATTCCGTGTCGGATTTGATATAGTTATCCACTACAAGCGATTAATGAAGAATTGTGGAAGCTCATGGTCTGGTTAAAGTTAGACATTGATACAGTAGAGTGCCTACACAGTGGCTTAGATGTTCGGCGTTCGCTCAAGAGACTGGTCACAGGTTCGGATCCCGTATACAGGGTTGTGGATGAGCACTGCTGACGAGTCCCATACTAGGACTAAAAGGCCTTCCAGTGTTTTCAGGTTTGCAATGGTCTAGCTAAGATCAGTTCGTGATTTAAGCAATTAGAATGCTACATTCTTCACAAACTCACTCTACTAATTGAATTATAGTTTGAGTATAGTTTATAAGGAAATATACTCTCAAATAACACTTATCTGAAGTTTTACCACAACAGCTAACGTGAAAATATATTTTCAACACCAACTTATTGGCTAAATTAGAGAACATCATTCGTAAAAGTATCAAAGTTTGGAACTATTAATTTTTACAAATGGAACAATATTAGTATTTTTAAGACTAAGAGTAAAATCAATTTTAGTTTCATATCTTCAATTAGAGTGATTTATTTACAAAATAATTTCAATACATAATCAATTAACATTTGTAACCTTCGTGTACTCTATTCATCTGACTGCTTTAAAAGTATATCAATTATCTATAAGCTCTTATATAACATTGTTTCTTGAATGAGTAACATTTAAACCAGGTAATAATCTTACAGTCTACGATGAATAATTAGTGAATCAAAAACAATCTTCACAAAATCTAAGAAGGCGAGGTTAAAACCAGTAAAGGTAATAACAAATTCTTATCGTTAGCATTTTTGAACGATCAGATTTATCAGTTACTAAAAGCATTTAAGGGACTCCTAAAAAATATCTGAGGTTTTGTATTAGATTGATTACTATTCATCAAATAATCATCGGACTTTTAAGCTAATAGCACTTCAAGAAACAGCAACAAATAAAAAAGCCTTACATACTGGTAAACTTTAGTAACTACGGCTACAGTCTAATGATGTTAAGTGAATCTTTAAAGTGAACGTTTACTGCAAAATATAATAATACACTTGAAAAAAATCTATAATATAGGGCTAAGACCTATATGTATCTATTTTATTCTCTTGTCAAAACATGCTCTTTATCCCTGTCATAGTATAAATGTTTTCTTATTTTAGTGGATTAAAAATCCAGCATCATAAAATTCAAAGAAAATACATGAAAATTTCAATCTCTAGATATACCATATAATGAGATTGCAAAAACTAATATACTTAGTCAATAATTTACACCTTTTTCAGAATTCAGTCTAATTATTACTGCTTATATCTAGTTATGTTGACTATTTGTAATTACTTACAATTAAAGAATGATCTTGTAGTGTCAGTTATTATGGCAAGCCCATCTACCTTATTCTATCTTGTGGACATCCTATTTTATTCATTCTATTTGAGTCATATTTTGACCTTGTTAATTATTCGCTTATCAGTCCTGACTGTTTTTATATGAGCGTATATGTGTGTGCCCTTCTTATCGCATTAATCACATGTCTGTAGCTTTATTTTGTCAACCTATAAATATGGAGTAACTTGACTAAAATGGAGTTGGCTTCTCAGCCATCTTCCCTGTGCATCATTTTGCTCTGTTCTATTACATTCACTATACATACAAAATATATGTATTCAAAGGCCATTCTCGTTAATTGACTTATTTAATTCCGTTATTGGATAACGCGATCTAAGTCGACTATGATATACGAGAATAGGTGATAGCAAACACTCATACAATCTGAATTGGAGTCAGATCAAGGGCCGCCACAATCTATGTAATATATTTCACTTACATTAATACGATAATAAAATGTTATTTAATTCATTATTTTTACATACCATGAATTGAAATGTTCACAAAAATAGCAAATCAGCTGATGAATTTAGGATAATCGTATAGATTGTTTCTTATGCCAGAATTTATGATTTATTTATGAAATTATGAGATTAATATTTGAAATTCAATGCCATGTAACTGAGTATTATTTAAAACAATGTATAGACTACTCAATAAAGTTACCTCCATATAAAATAATCACTAAACCAGGTTTCTTATTTTTTGAAGTACTATAGTAGAAACATTGCAAGTAATTAAGTAAAAAAACTAAAAGGTATTTGGATATATTCGTCAAACTACAGATTTTGAGACAAAAATTCGCATAGTAAGTAATATTTGATTTTAAACATGGGATATAAGGTGGAATTCACATAATAAATTAAAGAGTAGTCGGGATTGATGGCTTTTCTAATATGTTTATATGATTTTAACTATTTCAGTGGTGTTACTTAAGTAATCTTTTCTTAAACGGTTTTGTTGTCTTGTCGGAAACGTGGGCTTACATGGTTGAGAAAAGATTTATTCATATCTACAGGTAGTTCTGTGGTGAATGTGGATACAGGCAGGAACAATTAAACGTATTTTAATACATTATAGAATATCTAGATAAAATCTGAAAACCATACTGTGAATACTTCATTTGTTAAATGTCCATTAATTATTTCAGACTTTGTTGTTCCTTCTTTTCTATACCAATAAGTTTCTGTTCTCGTTTTTCTCTCTTCAATTTTCTCAACCTTCTGTCTCCAGGCATTGCACTTTCGATTGGTGATACATACTACCTACATCTGTTGACATAAGTAGCACACCATTCATTTTACCGTCGTAGATAGTGAACATGATATCAAAATAGAGGAAGCTTTCCTAGCTTTAGATTATGTAATAGTTTTGTAAAACAATACGATTAGTTCACCATTACATGTTAGAAGCCATTAAAATCACTTAATTATACTAAACTTGTGTATGAAAAAAGATGTACACTCATCTACACCAATCCTATGCTACAATCTGAAAACTTTTATTCTCAACCACTTTTAAACCTATCTCTGAATTTTCTTTTTCTTATGAACCATTTGTAGCTTTGTATTTATCTTCCTTTATCATTATGGAGCATAGAAGTGAAGTTACTAAACTCAATTGCTTTCTCAAATGTTTATTCTTAATTGAGAATGAGGTAATCTTACAATGATCATATGTTAAATTAACAATTTAATTGGTTCAATTATATTTACGTATATTCTGCAAATAGTTTACCTAGAAACCAAAATATTATTGTAAGTTTACTATTTTATATTTTTCAAGCTAATTACTTATTGATAGAATTAGTCAAAATTTTGAAGACAGTTTTGTTTAAAAAAAACACAATTTACCTTAAGCACATGACAAGTCAAATTAACTAGTTGATTGATTTTCTGATCATTGATAGAAGAGTTATTTTCAATCAATATTTTTTTAAAAACTACTAATGAAGAGTGACTTTGAAGTGATGAAGAAGATTTGTAGCTCAGGTGGATGATTTTGGTGGAGTTTTGTTCTTCTGAACAACACCATCAGCACAAACTTCAAGTAGTTTGAAGTTTGTGCTGATGAAAACTCCACGACCAAACCATCCAGCTCAGAGAATAAAACCCCACTAAAATGAAGAATGACGATTGAATTATTTGTGCTTCAGTAACAAGGTAATGCTTATAGTTTAAAGTCAAATGGATTTCTACTGCCTCTCATATAATTCCGATCATTTTTTTAAAGTCCACAGTGAATTAATCAGAATCATTAGGTCTGAATATAACCACAATGAAGATAGGATTCTTCCTGTGCATAGTAAATTAGTCGTTTATTTTAAAGACCATTTTGAATAAATTGTGAGATAATAAGTCATTTTAATACTTATGATAACATGGGGTTCACTATAAAATCGGTAACCTGATCAAATAATTTAACATCAGTTTTTAAAGTACAGCTAAGATTCAAAATAACTTCATTATCAGGATCTACAGTTTTATGTTCATAATTATGATATTTTACAAAGGTCAGAATAAGGGATGTATTAAAGAATTTGACAATGTAATATGTTAGAAATGGTGAACGTTTGTATCTGTTACGACATAATTACTTCAAGATTGTGTTATTTATAAATTAAGAAATTCATTTAATAAAGGTCAGAATGATTTGTGGTAGTGCCAAGTCATAACCAATATAATAGCAATATAATGAAATAAAAAATCGTGTGAATAAAATCTATAGTAGGAGAATTTTGTCTTGTTCTTCGGGGTAATAATAATCCATATCAGAGGACGAAACTTCATCAAAATCATCTACCTGAGCCATAAATCTTCTTCACCATCACAAAATAATAATAATGATAATGACTTGTGAATATAATATGTAATAAGTGAGGTGTTATCACGATAATTGAAATGAAATTCATGTGAACTGAGAAAGATGAATGAGAAGATTTAGAAAGATATAAACAGAATAAGAAATTGGGAGGGAGGATAAGAGGTTTATAATATCCAGTTCAGGTATCTGATGATCCAGTCGTGAACCGAAGTAAACATAGAGGCTGGATAAATAAGTTCGGTTTTCTGGAGTTGATCCAAATGGATTCATTTATAAGAGAGGAACCGTAATCCAGCTCCTTTAGATAGATTGTTTGGAATTTGATATAAAACAGAAAAGGCTTTATCTACTTTAATATGATGTTCACTATATACCAAGTAAGAAATGATGTCACTATTGATCGATTTTGTGACATTTTTTCCTAACCATCATTGTACATGTTCATGAACACACAAGGTTGAATTGGTATACATACATGGAGGAGCCCATAATGGGCAACCTATCCTTGACTTGTTGTGTAAGTACTGGTTTGGCTGAGAAGATTGCACGTAACTTGGCAGTGTGAAACGTCGTTTCAACAAATTTTTTCGAGTGGACCTAGTGAAATGTCACTCGCTATATCCTCTCTAAAATTCAGTTTTAGATAGAGGGTTTTTACACTGACCTAGTCGGAGTTTAGCCTTCATAACTCCCAACAGAAATTTTCTGACAAAATTATCTGGGTAACCATTATTTCGTAATATGCTTTTCAGTTTATCTATTTCGCTATTTACACTGTCTTCAGAACATACTAGTTTGTTTCTGTGGCTGAGACATTTAAGCAAATTTATGTTGTATTAAAGAGGTGTAAAACTATGAAAAATGAGTATACTAACCCGTCTAAATATTCTTTCTAAATACATTTCCTTTTGTGAGAAATTTTATCCCTTTAGAAAGTAGGACATCGAGAAATAGGTTAGAAATTGGTTACAGCAATCAATCAGTATAGTCTTGAATCTTTCATATTCGACCTTTGTCGAGAGTATCAAGTCTTTCATCTGGGTAAATATGTTATCAAATTAAACATTAGTCTTCAAATGATTCACATGTCTACATCTATCACAAAACTTAAGTCCTGCTGATTATACTTCCAGTTGAATTTTATCGACATTAACAGGAAATGAGCTAGAAACATACCTGTTAAAGTCTTCTGCAAAATCAGGTTTAAATATCTGGTTATACAGTCATTTGATTAGGTATATGATGACTGCAACTCAACCGCAAAAACCGTTAACTTAAATACTATATTCAAACTAGTTTTTTGCTGTAAACTGCATAAATCTACTGGTCAAAATGAACCACGCTACTTTAAAGCTCAACAAAAGATGTCGTTTAAATCAAAAAGTGTAAAGTATAAGACTAACATGTGATTTTACTGATGGATCACATTAATATTGTAGTGCAAATCCTTAGGCGGTTGAAGAATACTGATTTATTAAGAAAAGGATTTTTAACAAACAGTTATAATGAACCTGACTGCTATTTCCTAGATACTTTTCATACTTTAAGTTCTACACCCTTATAATTCTTACCAATTGTCTTTTTACGCGACTTCTTAACTTCATGATACTATCCTTTAAAAAGACTTATGATGTCTTATTAATTATGTTACGTTTCAGAATGATTACAAATATAAAGTCGGTTTTCACTTCCTGTATTATTAGAATATCATGATAATGCATATAAGAACTATGAAATTTTTTTATTCTGACAATATAACACTCAAAAACTAATTGCTCTGAAGAACCGTTTGGTATTAGTCTGAATAAATATCAAAAGACTTATTAGATTTGTTTAACAACTCATTACATTTCAATGTTTACCATAAAATTCAGTTGAAACAACAATCCTTTATCCAGGACCGACATTTTGTATTGTGAACTTGACTATCCTCACAGAAATATGAATTAATATGCTTTGAAATTCTACTGTAGATTATCTAATAAGATTGAGATTAAAGAATTGTGAATTCCAACCAAATTAATGGCTGTGTTGTAAAAGTTGTTAAGAAAACCTTAAACCACAGTTAAAAGACACTATTATACTGTCAAACATCAAAGCTTGCCTAAATCTTGATTAAAAGTACTAACTTATGCAAATGAATTGATACAGTGAATGGTGTGATTGTAGGTATTCTTTAGTTTCTGATGGAAATCATGAATCGATCAGTGTTAAACCACCACTGAAAACCCGGAAACGCTGGCCGATCGTTTCGTCTTAGTATATGACTACATAGCCATGCGCATCCACGATCCCACACGCGAGAGGTAATTCATGAAGTTCTAGTGAGTAGCCGTAAACAGTGGTGCGATTCCGTGTCAGATGTGACGCAGTTACCCACCAAAAACAATGGGAGGTGGTCGCGCAACTTCGTGGATTGGTTGAAGTTAGATATTAACACCTTTGGATGTCGGCTCAGTGGTCTAAGTTTAAGCTTCAGCGCGCGAGGCCAAGGGTTCTAGGTTCCCAATCTGTCGTGCAAAATCGTAGATGTACAGTGCTGAGGAATTCCGTGCTAGGACGACATAACGAATGCCACTTGACGGATGAATGGAGTAAGTTATTGGTTTTGGATCTACAGCTCACTACTACGCTATATATTAAAAGACATCTTGGTCACTGACTAATTCATTCACAGATATAGAGAAAAATTTTATTTGGGGGAAACAATTATCTTATCAGTCTGAACAACTATCAACTATAAGGCTATACTAAAGTGAGGATAATGGTCAGTGTAAATAAGTTACCACTCTTACTCTCTTTTCTTTTTGCTGATACCAAGAACATCACAAAAATGAATAAATGTTATTTCACCAGTATTGTCCTCATCAAATAACTTTCTCCATTTCTGGAATTAAAAAGATATAACAAAATGAAGAATTATTTCATTTAGTGAACCTAAAAATATATCTTAAATTGGTAAAATCACTGTATGTTCTTTGGAATAAGAAATCTGAGTCACGCAATATGGATTGTAATTATCAATGTATTGACCAACTCTCAAAATCTAGCCAGTTATTGGCATAATTATGGAGACAAATGTTTGGAGACAATTGGGAGGACACCAGTAATATAGATACTGTTCTTTTTATTAACATTATTATCGTTGTTTTTCATCTTCTCCTTGAGCCACTCTGTGGTTAAAGCCCGAATAAAAGAGAAGAATTAGAAACCACATCCCGAAGAAAACAACTTTGCTAAAAAAAGCGCTAATCACATAAAATAATTTAAACCTTTTAAATTCTACCATAGAAGGTAATGGTAATCATTTAGAAATGTTTTGACGCATCATGATGAAAGCCAAGACTCTCTGAAAATCACGAAGGAAATGTCCCTCTTAAAATCCAGGGTAACTCTTGTTATAGATACATGGAGTTTCGACACAATATGGGAGACTGAGAGAACTATTCAAGTACTTGCGGAAATAAGGATATATAACATGGCAGTGCTTAGAAAAAGTGAAACTCATTGAACGAAAGCCGTATAGAAAAGATAAGTTTCAAGTGAATTGCTGTTGTACTCTGGTCATGAAGAAGAAAATGCACCGCACGCACAAGAAGTTGGACCTGTGTTGTTCGAAGAAACACGAAAAGCATTTATATGATAGCAATCTCATGGCTCCAGGATCGTCAAAGCACCATTCAGACTTTCTTCAAAATACTAAAATACTCATCGAATTCAAGATATCGCTCAGCAGTAAGTTCCAAGCCTTTCAAGATCTATTTAGAGAAGAGGAAATTTCTATGATAAATAAATGGAAAGGGATTAAATAAGTCATAACTTCAACATGTCAGGAGGTGCTAGACTACAAGAAGTACTAGCACAAAGAATGGATCTATGTCAACACCCTGGGCAAGATTCAAGGAAGAACAAGAAGACAAAAATTACCAACAGCCAAACAAGAGCAGAGAAAGTCAAACTTGATAAGTACAAATAGGTGGAAGACCTAGCAATGACGGGAAAAAAGTTACAAGAGAAGGAAATTTAAAATAACTGCATGATACAACGAGGAAACCAGCTGGAAAATGTAGTAAACCAGAGTGACCAGTCAAGAAAAAAAACAAAGAAAACCAAGACTAGCAGAAAAGATAGGTAGAACGCTTTGAAAAGCGCTTAAATTGACTCAGTGTAAGTCAATTCTTTAGAAAATAAATGAAAAAGTCAAACATTGCTAATGATACCTGTAGATTCATTTATCTATTTACCTAGTAGCTTTTACTACATAAAAACGGGTTATTAATTGTGGTTATTTTTAGGTGTATTGCATATATATATATAACAAAACAGTTATTATGTATAAACATGCTTTAAATACTCACTGAGACAAAATCATCTGCCACTGTGCTTTTCATAGAATATCTTTCAAGATCTTCAGTTGTAATTATCCCATCATTGTCAGTATCAATTAATGAAAACGCATGCAAAATTCCTTGTTCAGTCATTTGAAACTGATATGAAACAGTTTGCCAACAAATTATATTAATACTAAATCCATAAGGAGTAATTTCTATTATTCACGTGTAAACTTCTATATATATATACGGTATAACAAGCATTGAGTTTTGTTTATTGTGCATCTATTTATTGTATTAGGATGATTATAAAAGTAGATTTATCATAAAATTAATCATAAAGGATAAGCAACATATACATAATTGAAATTTCCACCAATCTACCTTAACAAACTTTTATTAAAAACAAATTTCTCTCTATAAATGTGATGATGATAATAATAAACTGCACATTTTTGTTATTGTTCAACATTTATATTTTGATTAAACAACAAATAGACATTTGTTAATAGAAGGTTATTTTATTGCAGTGACTATTCAAAAGTCAATAATGTTTATCTTAAATAGAGCAAGTACAAATATTGATGCAGAATAATATAAATTCATTTTATTTCGTTAGGTTCTCATCAGCTGCTTATAACCTAAAATATTTGAAAATCAAAGTTATTATAGATATTGACATACATATACATATGAACGTGATTAGAAATAATGTGGTGAAGATTTCGATAGAGTTAATGAGGTTTTAAGAAGTTTGTTTCGAATCAATAAAGTTTGGGAGGTAAAGTTCCAGAACATTGAAATAGTGATTAGTGTTATATCCTAGTGAAGATTAAATTACGAGTAACTTCTGAGAACTATCAATGGACTGATATTATCTATATATTCTTATGGTATAACTATTCAGTAATTGGGTTATATATATTTATATTTCTCTTATTATAAGCTTCATTTTGACCTATAATTTATTATTATACGATTTACTGTTCTTAAATTATGCTCAGTTATTCAATTACTGTATCTCACGTTCACAGCCACTTTTTGACTTTATTGTGTATGAATGTTATTTCTTATTTTATGATGCGTTGCAATCTGTTTGGTTGGTATATAAAGTCAATATGTCTGAAATAAATGATTCGCATAATGGAGGCTGTTATTGGTATTTTGAACTCAACTGGACGGGCTAGATGAGCAAAGAACCAATAAGTCGCTAGGCTGGTTAGACCGGTCGAACCATAAAGTCACAACAATTAGAACGTAATAAATAAAAAAATATTTATTGCGTCACTCAACTCTTTCTGATTTTTAAGTTACATCGCTGTCATTTTCTTTAATTCATAATTGAGTGATTTCAAGTCATATCTTTCTTTATTACAATTAATCTATTTTCAGTTACTTCATTATACAATCATCTAATGTTTGTTAACTTCATGAGTTCTAAGCACTATTTCAATGTTCTGGAACTTTACCTCCCAAACTTTATTGATTCGAAACAAACTTCTTATGACCTCATTAACTCTATCGAAATCTTTATCACATCATGATACATATATTCATTTCTGATAACGCTCAAATATATATGTGTGTCGATATCTGTAATAACGTTGATTTCCAAATATTTTAAGTTGTAAACAGCACTGTTTAAGATAATAAAGGGAACTATGTGTATGAAATAATGTTTATCATTTTCAATGTCATGTAATGAACTATTAAAATTATCTATAAAGTGTTCAAGTTTTAGAGTATGACCGTATTATATTATTGTATTTATGGATTCTTATATTAGTCATTGAAGAATTAAATAAATATTTTTACTCTTAATAAATGATTAATTAATAAACGTTCAAAATTTCTGCCCAGCAAGTAGTCAGTATCATTTTCAAAAGATAATGTGATCGATAACAGTGAAGATTAGTAGCTCAGCTGGATGATATCGGTGGAGTTTTGTTCTTTGAGTTGGATGGTTTGGTCTTGGAGCTGTGAAAAACACTACATCATACAAAATGCATGCCAACTTCATCTTCGCTTAACAAAAATCAATTAGCGGTCAAACGCTACGACATGTCATTGCTTATATCAATACATGTGGACAACTGTGGACGCACATTCAACTGTGAAAGTGATGAAATCTTGGATAGAGGGAATTCTAAAAACACCAAAGAATTTTTAGAATTTTGGCACTCAGGTCAATCAGCAATCAACGAATACATTGGAATCGATACAATTTATCAATCAGTCAGAACTGTAGTATGGCGTCGAGTCGAGATTGACTGTGAACACCGCTACCAAGAAGCTCGTTCCCAAATGACCCCATAAAATCCCCGAGAAGCCAAATATCAGAAGGCAGAAAATGGACCAAGTCAAAATTTATTCACTGGCGATCTCGTGGTATCGAAAGGATACCGAGATCGTGCCAGGATACAAGCTTGGTTACAGAATGTAACCGAATTCGCGCGAAGTTACAATCGAAGTCTGTGGACAAGAATGGAAGCCCAATATAGCTGTCATTAGCACAGTCAAACAAAAGCACATTAAAACAAACACTAGTACAACTGTTTATAATAATAACTGTTTTTATTAAATCAGTCGTGTTCTCGTGATAAATGTAAGTCACTACAGAACAATTATAGAACCAAGAATCAAATCAGTGGGAGATACAATCAAAATAAAGATATAAACGATGACAGGTTAAAGGCCAATAATAACCAATCAAGATTGAGGTCCACTGAGCAAGCTGTGTGTTATATGTGGAGACGTTTGTGCTGATGATTTCGTTCAGAATTGTTATTCTGAACGAAATCATCAGCACAAACGTCATTGTTATGAAAGCTCTAAAACCAAACTATCCAACTCAGAGAACAAAACGTTACCAAAATAATCAGTAATCACAAATTTATAGTGTGCCAAAGAAAAGTTATTGTTATCAAGCATAGTTTGTTGTCTTGGCAAACTTGATTAATGTTCAATACAGAATGATGTAAAGATTAAATTGCTTCAGAATAATTCAATATTAATGATCACGTGTTTGTTCAACAGTAAGATCGGAAATTTATATCTTAGCATAATATGAATTGGTATTAAATGGAAAATATTCAGGAAATACTCTGAATATTTTGTTCAGTTTCTGGGTCTATATTTTCAATATCATTTGATGCATCTGTGTTGTTTCATAAAGTTTTTTTAAAAGTCATTAAATATTTATTCTCCTACAATCTAAATTTCTACCAGGAGTATTAGTTTTTATTGTATAGAGGATTAAGAAATATTTAGTCTTTGTCATCGTGAATCATAAGTCTTTCAATTCTCAAATAAATGCATAATATGTCCAAAAACAAAACTGTTGAAAGAAAGAATACAGAAAATTGATTAGTTATTTAACAATACAGTCAAATTGAGCAAATAATTAATATAATGTCAATCATTTATATATAAGTTTCAATTATTGAAGTTTGAAGGATAATTTAGAGATTAACAGGGAATTAAAATTTGCTTTAATTTTATTTTAGCACAAATTGTTGTAGCTAGCCTTTTCTGTCCAGCTTGGGTCCAGTGGGTTTCGCTGATTCCCAGTACGGCTAAGTTGTATCTCCTCATTTCCAATGCCATTTGACTGGTCTTCCCGGTTTCCCACATTGTTCGAACGTTCCATGTACCTATAAAAATTTTTGCTCTGGTTGTTAGAAGGGGCATCGGCCTCGTGGCTTCCGAAGGAACTCGGCTTTCACCATGAAGCGTCATAATTCTGCTAAATGAAGACCTTCTAACTCCCAGGGCAGAGTTTAAATGGTTTGGATTATTTTTTCTGGTAAGCGTTTTTTTTAGCGAGTTAGTTTTCTACGGGATGGGGACGCTAACCCCATGCCCAACCCTCCTCCTTTACCCGGGCTTGGGACCGGCAGTAACCCTATAAGAGTTGTATCCACATCACCTATTTCATATACTTGAAAATAAGGAACCAATACAATTCTCATAATTCAAAGCAAAAAGAAAAAAACTAGTCACAAGTGATAAGTTATTGATTCCAAAATAAGCACGACGACTCCAGTCGAAACTATATATATATATATATATATATATATATATATATATATATATATATATATATATATATATATATATATACTGATTTGTGTACTCATTTCGATTAATAATTTTTAAAAAAAATAATTACACAAATGAAATTCTTACGAAATCTCATTCTTAAGAGGACAAATAATATTTGATAGAACATCAAGATTTGATTCTTCTGAAATAGTCTCCTCAAATTTATTAAGAATGTCATTGCAGAGCTAAGGATCATTAGAAAAATCAGCATCTATCAAGACTGCCTGAGGTTTTCGGTCATAATTATGTTCACTAAACATATTTTCCTCAGATTTGCATGGAATTTCATTAGAATTATGTAAATCATTGAGAAAAGCCATATCTGGTACAATAACATGAGAATTCTGACAAATTGATTGATTAGAAACCGTTGTCTCACAAGAATTCTGAGTTTCATTTAACTTCGAACTGTTATATGACTCTACACTGTCTTTCGAAATCGTTGATAAAGATGAATGATCATCATAAATACTCAACTCAATAGAATCAAAATTACAAGACTTAATATTAGTTGCAGCAAGATGAACAGTAGTATTACAAACTGACTGAATATGTCCAATATCACCACATTCAAAGAACTTAGAATTACGAAATTTACATGATTTAAAAGAGTGGAACCTGCTACAGGACAGACATTGACCAGACTTGTGCCCATTTTCGTGAACTGCATCGCAACTCCTCAATGAATAATCTACATAACCTTGAGTACGCACTGGGTTGGGATGACGTAATGCAGTGGAATTTTTTATATCCTCATGAATCATTTTACGAAAATTTCCTCCTTTACCACATTCGAACTTTGTATACTGAACATAGTATAGCAGTACTTTCTTGAGAGTTGTATAAGGAAGGGGAATGGGCTTTTCCGGTAAAGCCAGAGTTTTTAATAATCTACATGCTTCTTTTCTGATGAATGTGAGGAACTGTGTCACAATATTAACATTCTCATCATCTTCCTTGGTCATAGCCCAAATTTTGAACCTTTCAAAGTAATCCTCAAAAACATCGAAATCCGAATATATGTCCAACCGTTTCATCACAGGCTCAATCGCGACGCCAATATGATAATTAGAAGTATTTGAATTATAGTATGAACTAAGAATCCCAGAAATAACGCAATTGGATCAAGAAGTACTCGATAGGCACAAACGAATGTACTGTATTCAACAAGTACAAAAAAACATTAGTTCATTCAAACACCACATAAGATTCAATTCAATATAATTAACTACGTTTATATTTTTGTGTAGATTAAGAGAAATTATAATATGAGGTATTGGAGAAGATTTGTAGCTCATGTGGTTGATTTTGTTGGAGTTTTGTTCTTTAAGGTCG